ACAAGTGGAAGGCTGCGTTTCAGACAACTGTGGGCTCTTCGAGCCACTGGTGATGTATTCGGCCTCACCAATTCCCCTGCAACGTTCCAGACTATGATGAATGACATCCTCCAGGACCTCATCTCTCTGGTGACATCATGGTGTACCTGGACGACATCCTCATTTTGCACTCTGACCTCCACCTCCATCGTCGTATCATGAACGAAGTCCTCCGGCGCCTCCGCAAAAACAAGCTGTACCTCCGAGCTGAGAAGTGCAAATTCGAGATGGAGTCCATCAATTACCTTGGCGTGATCATCTCCCACAACCACGTCGAGATGGACCCCGTCAAGGTGGCAGGCATAGCTGAATGGCCGGCCCCCTCTAATAAGAAGGAGGTGCAGCAGTTCCTCGGGTTCACTAACTTCTATCAGAGGTTTATTTGGGACTTCTCACATATCGCACGCCCGCTCTTCGACCTCACCAAGAAGGACGTACCATGGTCTTGGGGCGACAAGGAGTCCACTTTGTTCCCGGCCTTGAAGGATGCAGTTACCTCCACGCTGGTTCTCCTCCCAGACTCCTCTCGTCCTTATCGCCTAGAGGCTGACAGCTCCGATTTTGCCACAGGACCGTCATCTTGCAGCAGTCCCCCTCGGACAACAAGTGGCACCCAGTCGCCTTCTTCTCCAAGAGCCTCAATGATGTCCAGTGCAACTACAAGATCCACGACAAGGAGATGCTGGCGATTGTGCGTGCGCTGGAGGAGTGGCGGCACTTCTTGGAGGGCGCCAAACACCCCGTGGAGATCTGGACCAACCACAAGAACCTGGAGTACTTCCGCAAGCCCAGAACCTCAATTGCCGGCAAGCCCGATGGTTGCTCTACCTATCCCGCTTTGATTTCACGCTTCACCATCAACCCAGCCGGCTCATGGGACGCCCAGACACACTCTCTTGACGCCTGGACCACGGGGCCCCTTCGGACAACACAGACATCACCCTGTTGAAACCGGAACTGTTCCATGTGCGAGCACTCAAGGGACTGTCTGTCTCTGGCCCGGAAGCCCCGCTTGTCCGTGACATTCGGGAATCGCTATCCGGAGACCCTGACATTGAGGAAGAACTTGCGCTTATAGCGCGATGGCTTCTAAAAGGGATGAAGGGGGCCCGCTCTGCTGTTGGAGCGGAATGGCACATCCAGGATAGCCTCCTCTACTTCCGTGGAAAGCTAGTGGTTCCCCGTGACAGGGACCTCCGACGACGCATCCTCAAGCAACACCACGACACCCGCGTTGCGGGGCACGCTGGCCGCTTCAAGACGCTGGAGCTGGTCTCCCGGAACTATTGGTGGCCCCAGCTCTCACAACACGTTGGCCGGTACGTGGCCACCTGCAACCTGTGCTGTTGGACCAAGGCCCTCCGACGACTCCCCACTGGAGAGCTTCACCCCACGGAGATCCCCTCGGAACGCTGGGAATCGGTGTCAGTGGACTTTATTGTGGAGCTGCCCGAGGCACACGACTACAATGCCATCATGGTGGTCGTTGACATGCTAGGGAAGCGTGCTCACTTCATCGAGTGCCACACTCGCCTCTCGGCTGAAGGGATGGCTCAGTTGTTCTACAAGCATGTCTGGCGACACCACGGATTGCCGATCAAGTATGTCTTAGACCGTGGCCCTCAGTTTGTGGTGGACTTCACTCAAGAGCTATGGAAGCTGGTTGGCGTCTCTCCTGCCACATCCACTGCTTACCACCCGCAGACTGATGGCCAGACTGAGCGGGTCAACCAGGAACTGGAGCAGTACCTCCAGATCTTCACCAGCTACAAGCAGGGCAACTGGGACAAGCTCTTGCCTGCAGCTGAGTTCGCTTACAACAACCACGTCCACTCCTCGACCCAGCAGGTTCCCTTCATGACGGACACAGGACGCTTACCACACATGGGATTTGAGCCAACAGAGCAGCGCTCCACCCGAGCAGAGTCTGCCAACAAGTTTCTGGATTGGGTCGCATTGGGTGTAACAGAGGTGAAATCAGCACTGGTCAAGGCAAAGAACAAGTACAAGAGGTGCTATGACCGACGAAGGACTGCTGCTCCCGACATCAAGGTTGGCAGCCGAGTCTGGCTCGATGCCTCAGACGTCACAATGACGCAACCCTCTCGTGGCCTCTCTCACCGGCGCCTGGGCCCCTTCAAAGTCACCCAAGTTGTAGGTCAAGGCACATACAAGCTTGCCCTCCCCACCAGCCTCTCTCGCCTCCACCCTGTCTTCCCTGTGGTCAAGCTCCAGTTGGCCGAAGACGACCCGTTCCCCACTCGCCCGCGTCATGAGGAACCACCCCCTGTCCTGGGACAAGGCGAAGGAGAGGAGTGGGAAGTGGAGGAGATCCTAGACGCAAAGATGCGCTACCGGAGTGTCTGGTTCCAAGTACGATGGAAAGGCTATGACCGTCTCACGACCAGTGGGTCAAGCACTCCGATGTTTTAGCTGACGACGCAGTGGCAGCGTTCTACCGCAGATACCCGGGAAAGCCACGCGTCATTGCAGCAGCTGTATTCGACTCGCTACCCTTCAGGGACTCATGGACCCCTAACCGTGCCTTGCTTCCAGGCGCCGCAATCAAGAGGGGGGTGATGTCAGGGGAACCCTGCTTTTGTCCAATCATCATGGGATCTTGCATGTGACCGCGCACGTGCCATCTGTCAGGTGTCATATGCTTTGGTCCGGACTTCCCTGCCAAGCACGTCCACATGACACTCCGGCCTGGACCCCCATTGTTCTGACGGTCCGGCTCCCATTGTTCTCCCCGATCTGGCCCCTCATTGTTCCCTGGCCCCATTGTCTGGCGCTTCCATTGTGCTTGGTCATCCATTGTTCTGTCGGCTATATATAGTGGGCCCTGACAAGGAGAGTCCCCAACTCGGTTTCTCTTTGGACTCTCCCTTGTCAGGTTTGCCAAGTCTCCTGTATTAGTTGTTCCCTTTATCTGACCCTTTGAACTCTCCCTTGTCAGGACTGTGAGATTGGGCCTCAAGGTTGCCCTTACAATGCGCTGGGACTGTGCAAAATTGTCCCATTCATCCTCAACCTTGTTACGCTGGACAAGTCGGCGGACCCAAAATTTCTCCTTCTCTTCCCAAATGGATACTCAAGCGCCCTTTTTGCCTGGGCAAGACTGCAAGACTTCGGCTCTTTCACGTTGCAAGCGCATCTCCTTCTGCTGTGCTGATTCTTCTGCAAGCCGGCACTTGTTTCAAACCATTGAAATGCTGAGGGCGTGCTCACAGGTGAATCTACTATGAAAGTAAATCCAAATATAAACATGTTCACACTCCTTGTAATCAGCTTCTCAGTGTGTGAAAGATGCCAGGGCTTTGGGGTGAACGGAACACCAGTATCACAACTCTCAATGGACGCAGATCCAATAGTCGCGGAAGACGAAGTTGACAACAAGAATTCATATATAGCAAACAGTGGTGTCTCTACGAATATCTTCTATACGACCAAGACCAACACTAATCCAATCCACAACCAATAATATCACAAGTCAGAACTTAATACAAAGTATTTAGATCCCTTGTAGCGACAGCGTCCTGATGGCAATGCAAAGCACAAATATCAAGTCAACGCACTGCCAACCAATACAACCAATATACTGAGTCAATGCACTGCCAGCTAGTAAAACCAAAATGCCACGTTGACGCACTGCCAACTAACAGCCAATATCCAATGTCCAAAACCCGAGCACAACTTGTTGATGCGCTGCCAAGCAAGAGGTGTGGAACCAAAGTTCTCAAGTCGACACACTGCCAACTAGTAGAACCAAAAATGTCAAGTCAACGCACTGCCAAGCTAGAGGTGTGGAAACGATCTCAACAAAGCCCAAAGGCGACGACACTAAATGCTGCGACTAAACCAGATGCGGCGAATCCGGCTTTCTGATATCTCAAAACTCAAACTCAAATCACAGTAGCTACAAGTGCTCAGGGAGCAACTCGTCGCGACTGGGCAGGGGTAACAGAACTTCTTAAGGCGGAATCACGCAACAAGCAAATTGCACAAAACAATCTGATATGGGTATGATTCACAGTCCAGGGGAAAGCTCCCTAATACAAAGAAATGATGTGCTACTTATACTGTCTACAACGATGCTTAGTAAAGTCCTGTACAACTGCATAGTAGCTACGCTATCTAAGATTGGTTGCCTTTTAGAGTAATGAAAAGTTGAACAATCGGACAGGTCCTGAGTGATCAGGACCCCGCCCCATAGTCCATATGGTACTTTTGATGTGGGTCAACCCACCGCGTCATACTTTTGGAATACGACGTGCTGGATTGGCCAACTGGTATGTCTTGGCGGGTGAGTCCAACGTGGGTGCCCAAGAAGCCGTATGGCCCTAGGCATGCCAGCCGTTTCTCACATGTGTGACAATCAACCCAAAAACAAAGTCGAAAAGAGAAGTGAATTCGAAGACTGGAGAATACAACCAAGTAGCTACAGTATTTATACCCAAATCCAGTCTGACTCATATCTACAACTAATGAGTCATAGGGCTATGTACCACATGGAACGCTGGTCATGGGTTGTAGTAGAACCTTCCGGAGCATACGTCGCGCAGCCTTGAATCGATAGAGATAACCCCTGGAACCCCTAGCCCGGACCGTCTGATGCCGTGATCCGTGATAAGATAAGTCGTGCCAAGATAAGATAGGATCGTCGATGATAAGATGAAAAAGAGTCGAATTATGACATTACCCCCTCTCTAGGGTCGATGTCCTCATCGACTAGGCCAATGGGTGTGAAGACGTTTTCGTACGGATCGAAGAGTTGTCGCTGGGGGTATGGAAGGCGCTTGTCTTTGGGCTTGTAGGCTGGATGAGGTAATCCCAATGTCCGGCTTCGAGAGTTGGCAGGAGGCGAATGCGTGTGTCTGGGTTGGATTGTTTCCTCTGCCAATCTCTCAGGACCTTCTTCGCGTGGGTAAGGTGACGTGATGGTTCCCAGGTGTTCTCGCTGTGCGGCCATCCCTTCCATTTGACCAAGTACTGTTTTCCTCGGCCGACTTTTCGCTCTTTCACGATCTCTTCGACTTCCCACTCCTCTGCTCCTCCGATCATCTTGGCTACAGGCCTCTTCTCTCGGCGATGGGGGGGTGGTTCGTGATAGGGTGTCAACAGTGACTCGTTGAACACCGGATGTCTTCGGTCCGTGTCCGGTAAATCCAGCTTCCATGCGGCCGCTCCAACCTTCTCCAATATCTCGTATGGCCCTAGTCTCTTGTCGCTCATCTTCTTTGATGGTCGATCCGTCTCGATATTTTCCCCTTCTATGTACACCTTCATCCCAACCTTCAACTCCGGAACTTCTTTTCTTTGTTTATCGTAGTATTTTTTCATTTTTTCTTTTGCTTTTTCTAGTGCTGTTTTTGCTTCGTCTTGTATTTCTTTCATTCTTTTTACAAATTCCTCCGCCGACTCGTTTCTCGACTCCATCCGTTGCTCCACTCCCTTCCATGGGTGATATCCGTGATTCGCATAGAATGGCGATATTTTGGTAGATGTGTTCATCTTGTTGTTGTATGCAAATTCTGCCATCCCTAGCCACTCCGACCAGTCCGTTTGATGGTAGTTGACGTAGATGCGGAGATAATGCTCGATCTCCTGATTCATGCGTTCTGTCTGCCCATCCGTGATCGGGTGATATGCGGTCCCCGGATTCATTTCCACGCCCAACATCCGATTCGTCTCCCTCATGAAGCCCTTGATGTAACGCGAATCCCTGTCGGTGATGATCTTGCGAGGGATCCCGTGGTAGCGGAAGACTTGGTCCCTGGTTAGTCGTGCCACTCCTTCGCTGCTGATGTCAGTACTAATTGGTTCGACATGGATCATTTTGGTGAAGGTGTCACACCACACATGAATTGCGTCATACCCATTACTGACCGGCAAGGGTCCGATTTGATCCATGGAGATGATTTCCCACGGCGCGTTTGGAACTGCATGCGGGTGCAAACTCCCTGTCCTTGCTCTCCTGGTCTTGGTCCGTTGGCACGCCTCGCACGTCTGGATGTATTTCCGAATTTGGTTTCCCATCCTGGGCCACCAGTAGTTTCTTTCCACCATCTCCTGGGTTCGGTTGATCCCGGCGTGTCCGACCAAAGGGGTGTCGTGGTGTAGTCCGATGATTTTGTCCCGCAACTCCTCGTCCCTTGGTACGTAGAGCTTCCCATGGTACGTGATAAGCCCCTCTTCCTTCTTCCATCCGACGAGTGACTTCTCTACGGCCGCCTTGACGCTTCCATCAATTGATTGAATGGCCTTGATTTCATCGATTAGCTGCTGATCCTGTCCCTCGAATGTGACTTCTTGTGATCGGAAGAACTCGGGCTTCAGTAGCGTGACGTCCTTGTTGTTGTTCTTGCCCTGATCGTGATCTGCTCGTCGGGACAGGAGGTCCGCCTTGCGGTTGAGTGCGCCGGGTCGGTGTCGTAAGGTGAAATCGAACTCCGCCAACTCCGTGATCCATCGTGCTTGCCGTCGATTGAGCTTCTGCGGCTTCCGAAAGTACTCGAGATTCTGATGATTGGTGAAGATCTCGAACGTTTCCGTGGCTCCCAGGAGTAACTGCCTCCATTCGTCAAGTGATAACATGATTGCGAGCATTTCCTTGTCGTAGATCTCGTAATTTCGCTCGGTTTCGGTCAATGCGTGCGAAATAAATGCAATTGGGCGCCAAATGCCGTCTTGGTTCTGGCTCAAAACTGATCCTGTTGCCCCTTCCGAAGCATCGGCTTCCAGACGATATTGGCCAGTGTCATTTGGCAGTGCTAGGACCGCATCCTCCGCGATTCTCTTCTTCAATCCATCAAATGCCGCATGCTCATCTGCACCCCATGACCATCCTGCCTTCCCTGTCAGCCGTGTCAATGGCTTGGCAACCTCCGTGTATCCCCGGACAAATGTCATAGTTCGACCACTTTTTCATCTTATCATCGACGATCTTATCTTATCTTGACACGACTTATCTTATCACGGATCACGGCATCAGACGGTCCGGGCTAGGGGTTCCAGGGTTATCTATCGATTCGAGGCTGCGCGACATATGCTCCGGAAGGTTCTAGTACAACCCATGACCAGCGTTCCATGCGGTACATAGTCTTATGACTCATTAGTTGTAGATATGACTCAGACTGGATTTGGGTATAAATACTGTAGCTACCTGGTTGTATTCTCCAGTCTTCGAATTCACTTCTCTTTTCGACTTCATTTTTGGGTTGACTGTCACAACAAAGCGCCGATAGAAGTTTGTGAACCCTAGAAACGCTTGGACTTGTTTGACGCTCTTTGGTTCCGGCCATTCCATCACGCCCTTGATCTTGACTGGGTCCATCCGCATCGAATTGTGTCCAATGATTACACCCAAATATTCGATTTCCGTGCGTTCGAACTCGCACTTTTCGGGCTTCAGGTATAGCTTGTGCTTCTGGAGTAATTCGAGCACTCGTTTCGTGATCCGCCGATGTTCGTCCAAGTTCTCTGTAAAGATCAGTATATCGTCCAGATAGACTACCACGTGACCCTCGTTGATCAGTTCTCGGAGTATGTCGTTCATCATGTTTTGGAAGGTAGCCGGGGAGTTCGTGAGACCAAAGAACATGACCAAGGGCTCGTACAGTCCACGGTTCGTGCGGAACGCAGCCTTCCACTCGTCACCCTCTTTGATCCGTACGTTATTGTATCCCCATCGGATGTCGAGCTTGGTGAAGAACTTGGCGCCGCATAGATTATGGACCAGTTCGGAGATCAGCGGCAGCGGGTACCGATTTCGGATTGTCATCTCGTTCAGCTTCCGATAATCCTGGACGGGACGTAGTGAACCATCTTTCTTTTTGACGAAGAAGAATGCTGAGGCCATGGGTGATTTTGATGGTCTGATTCGTCCGCTGGCCAGGTTCTCTTGTAGGAACTCGTCGAGTTTGACCTGCTCGTTTCGTGATAGCGGGTACACCTTGCAGTCCACTGCTTTGGAACCGGGTTTGAGCTCAATCGCATGATCCCAGGTTCGTCGGTCCGGTAGCGAGTCGAATGATTCCTTGGCAAATACTTTGACGAATTCCGGTATTGATCCGGAATTTTCCCTTCGGTCATCCTCTCCTTCTCTTTTTCCGCTTCTTCTGCGAATTTCTGCGCCGGTGTTTCCTTCAGCCGTAGATCTACCTCCTTTCCAAAGTCGATCAGCAGGATCGATTCTCCCTCTTCCAGATCCGGTGCGCTCGTGTCCAGGTCGATTGCATCCATGTCAATCATCGCTTGGTGTTCCTTGTGACCCCTCATGTGACACCGTTCTGGGCATCGGCTGAATCTCATCGTTTGCTCCTGCCAATCCACCTCCGGGTTGTGTTCCGTCAGCCAGTCAAGACCAATGAAGATCCGGGCCTTCCCCAAGCACGTCAGAAGGAACATGCGTGTCTCCACGTGAGGACCGATTCTCATTCTCAAGTCGACGTAATGTGTGATCCGACCGCTGATGTTCTCGGTGTTGTCGGCGTTACGAGCCACGATGGGTTGCGGAAGCTCTTGGATATCCAGCTTTTCTGCCCGTGCGTAGTCAGTGTCGATGCAGCAGGTACTGCAGCCACTATCGAGCAGCGCCTTGACTCCACGCGTTTTCCTGAGTCCAGGCCCGTGATCTGGACATATACGTCCATTGAATGCCTCTTTCTTTCGGCCTGGTAGCTGCGTAATTCCTGCGCCAATCTGCTGGGCTGGGGGCCCTTCTGTTTCTCGGCCGCCAATTTCCTCTGGACGGCATCTGGCACCCTGGTGCGTTTGGGTGCTTCTGGAACCTCGATTTTGGCAGATTCCTTGGGCGCTTCCTCCTTTTCCAAGGATCGAGCCTCCGGAGCGATGCTCCCCTTTTCGGTCTTTGTTGACGTGGTTCCTTCTCCACGAGCCATAAATACGTAGGAGTCCAAAATTAATTTATCCGCAGCTTTCTGATCCTTTTTACTTTGTAAATACTCTCTATTTAAAACTATTTTTCTTTGTCGTTCCTTTTCCATATCAGCAATGAGGAAATCATGAATATTGGTACGTAATGAGTCCGAGATCGTGTATGTAGATGAAATATTGTCCGTATCTTTAATCGAAACAAGTACAGAAAAACGTCCATAGTCCGGACGCTCCACCTCCTTGGCTAGAGGAGTGGAGCGCTTCAAAAACCCTTCTCGCGCAGCTTCTCGGCGATCTCCTTCAAGAATTCGTTGTCCTTGTCCCCGTTCTCGATCTCTTCTAGCATTGTGGCCCGATTGAAGAACGTGCGCTTCTTCTTGGGCTCGGGGCAGTTCCGCGCAATGTGCCCAGGCTGCTGACAGTTGTAGCAGATGATATTGCGGCCACGGGCGTGGGTGCGATCGATCTCCATCGGAACCGGCTCATTGGCCGCTGGTCGGGCCGGAGCGGGTGCAGGTGCTGATGGTGCAGCCTGAGGGCGGAATTGGGGTGGGGGCCGCGGAGTTGAGTGCGCATAGGATGCCTTACGCAGCTGATCGCGCAAGGCATTGGCCTCGATGTTGACGCACCAGTTCTTGAAGGCACCATATGCCTTGGGCAGGGGGACGCCGGTGTTGTAGAGGCGGCTTGCAATTTCGCTGCTGAGTCCGCGCTCGAGGAACTCGATGAGGATGTTGTCCTGATCCCCCTTCTTGTACTCGCCCTTGTCATCGGTTGAGGCGACCACGTTGTACCCCGCGTCCGCAGCCAGCATTTCGAAGTCAGAGATGTAGTCCGCGAAGGACCGTCTGCCCTGGCGAAGGGCCATGAGTCGGGCGGCAGCGACTTGCTCTGCGTTAGAATCCCCAAAGGCCCTCTGAAGCTCCTCCAAGAAGCTTGTCGCGGTGACTCCCGCCTTTAGTCCTTGGAAGCCCTCGAAATTGTGCTGCTTCCAGTTCATCGCCCATCTTGAGGCGGCGCAGCTTGTGCCGCTCTCATTGCGGAGGTAGGACAGGACAAAGAGGATTTTCGTCTCGTCCAGCGAGAACTCTGACCGATAGGCACCGATGTAAGTGGTGCACGCGTCCACAAAGCCCAGGTATTTGGACTTGTCGCCATCGAAGTAGGGGGGGTTGGCAGCGAGAGTGATGCGGTGATGTCCTGACATGGTAGGAGCAGGTGCGGTAGGTGGGGGCGAGGGTGGTTGTTCGGAGGGTAACTCGCCAAGGTCGGGGATCTCGTCTTCAGGCGGCGGGAGGGCGAGGTAGGGGTTGGAGGGTCCGGGTTCGTTTTGATGCGCCAGATCGGGCGACGATGGTATGATGGGGGGAGGGGATGGGCTCCCAGATGATGATGGGAATCGGTACAAAATGGTGGATTCGTGTGCTGTACAAGCACTCGAGGAAAGGTTCTTTTGCTAGCAAAAAGATCCCGGGCCTAGCTCTTCACGTGCCCGATGATCCCGAGGTGCATTTTCCCGAAGGTCTCCGCAGCACTCCTTGTAGCTACCGTAAGGCTTGGGTCGGGCTCAACGTTACCCGTGGCCTGGTGCTGTTTGCTCGATATGAACCTTTCACTGCGATCGCAGTGAGCGACTAGATGATTCGGTAAAAGGGTGAGTAGGGTGGTAAGGGTGAAGAGGATATAGTGGGCGTAGCGGTGCACGGAGCAGGGTAGGAGGTAAGAGGTACGAGGGTATGAGGGGAGTCTTCGAATTATGTGACAATCAACCCAAAAACAAAGTCGAAAAGAGAAGTGAATTCGAAGACTGGAGAATACAACCAAGTAGCTACAGTATTTATACCCAAATCCAGTCTGAGTCATATCTACAACTAATGAGTCATAGGGCTATGTACCACATGGAACGCTGGTCATGGGTTGTAGTAGAACCTTCCGGAGCATACGTCGCGCAGCCTTGAATCGATAGAGATAACCCCTGGAACCCCTAGCCCGGACCGTCTGATGCCGTGATCCGTGATAAGATAAGTCGTGCCAAGATAAGATAGGATCGTCGATGATAAGATGAAAAAGAGTCGAATTATGACAACATGGTTTGGTTCACGGATCTAGCCCGTGTCAATTTTAGTGTGTTTGGGTATGGGCACAACTTGCTGTGACACCTGGAAGTGTCACTGTGACGCGTCCACAATGTCCCATGATCAAGTGGATCCTGACATGTGACAAGTCGTTGCCGTGGCATGATCTGAGGAAATGTCTCAGCCAAAACCGGGAATTGCTGCAACAAGATTGGTTCAATCTTGTAACGCCAAGTCCTGTCCAGTAGTAGTTGTAATATTGAGAATGTCGCGCATTGCTCAGCCCTTCAGCCCAAGTTCCCATCTGCAGAGAATGACCCTTTTGAGAAGTCGCCGCAATGAAAGATCCCTTTTGGGGAATTGTCGCGGTCCAAGTGTTTGTCACTAATAGCCCTGAGCCTGGTGTAGACCCATAAGACCAATTCCACAGTAGTGGTCTGACTGCCTTGCTATTGTCAACACTATCCACAGTCATCAACTGGGCAGTAGACCCTTAAGCCCTACTGAATGCAACACTGTCAACCGCAACACAATACACCAAATGGTTCGAGAGTAAACTCTGTAAAAAGCGCAAAAATACACCCTTACAGAGCTGGTGCAGAGCGCGTCTGGTAGCCAGCCTATCACCAGGTCCTATCAAACTTCGAATTGAGAGTGTCACCTGTGACCGCCAGCGAACTAGGACAGTAGGCACATTTTAAGATAAAATGAGTATAAAATTTCCGAAATTTGGCTTCATTGACATTGCTTATCGATATTAATTTCGAGCTCTCTTGGCAAAGACATGGCTTGCAACGCTTGTCGAGACCGAGGTCAAAGTGCTGCCACCATCACAAGGATCACAAGCACGCCCTTGCGCGACAGGTTGTCAGATTTCACACTCCGAGGTGGATTCCCGGACGAATACAATGTTGAACTAACCCTCTATGATAGGCGGCTCCAAATACCTGGGAGAGACTCTGCTATAACTACTAGAGAGGCTTGAAGGGAGCCTACGGCCAATGGTCTTTCCGGTGATGGGGGAAAGACTCCTATGTGACGCTGTGACTTGGATGATTTGATCCCCTGTTATCAGCTGAGCTTTTCCTGTTCTGGCTCAATCTCCCACAGAGTGTTTCTACTCTTCAGCTCTTGCTTGCTCTGTTGAAGTTTTGAATGTTTGAATTCTCCTATTTTACAACAATTCTCCATCAGCTATTTCTTCGCCAATCCCTCGCGGACGACCTCTTCGACACAACCCACCACCACGTCAACGATCGCTCTGACCTCGTCCGCGGTGATGTTGTATGCGGGTGCAAACATGATATGGTCTCCCTGGGTGCCCTCGATATTTGCCCCACCGCTCATGCCCATCACCATAAGTCCGGCCTGGAAGCACCGCTCCTCCACCACAAACGCGAACCGCTTCCCTCCCAAGTCGAGCGCACTCGCATCAAACTCGATAGCCCAAAAAAGGCCGGCACCGCGGATTTCGGCCACGTAGTTCCGCGCAAGTGCTCCGTCGGCCTCCAACTTTTCCTTCAAGAGCGTGCCGAGCAGGTCGCCCTGCGTCGTGCAGTTCTCCAGCAGCTTCTCGGCGATGATGACACGTTGAACAGCGAGGGAGGCCGCAGAACAGAGCGGGTGCGCCTGGTACGTGTAGCCGTGCTGCCACACGCCGGAACCCTCGCTCAGCACGCGTGCGACCCGCGGCGCGATGAGCACGCCGCCGATCGGCGTGTATCCCCCGCCAAGGCCCTTCGCGACGGCCTGGATGTCCGGCGAGACGCCGTCGGCAACGCGCTCCCACGCGTGGAGCGTGCCCATGCCTGGATCATGTCTGTCAGCGGGGGGACGGGTGGATGGGAAGCTGGTGGTACGCACGACCCATTCCGCACATGACCTCGTCGAGGATCAGGAGTGCGCCGTACTTGTCGCAGACGGATCTCACGGCGGCGAAGTACCCTTTCGGGGGGATAACGACGCCGGAGCTGGCTCCTCCGACGGTCTCAGCGACGACTGGGGGTGTGCGTCAGGTCACGCTTCTGTTGCTCTTAGTGGGCCAATACTCACATGCGATGACAGTATGCGGCCCGAGTTCAATGAACTTGGCCTCGAGCTCGGCGCGCAGGCGCTCAACGAACTGCGCTTCGGACTCGCCCTCACGCTGGTAGCGCCGCGCGTACGCCGGGGACACGTGGTGGAAGCGTTTGCTATCGAGGATGTCGTTGTACGGCGCTCGGCGTGCTGCGTTCCACGCGACGTTCAGCGTACCAAGCGACGCGCCGTGGTAGGACGACTTGCGCCCAATATAGTTCACACGCTGCGTCTGGCCAAGTTCCCAGAAGTACTGTGCGTGTGTTGTTTCAGAACGACTGGGATGCAGATGCAGACGCGGGCTTGTTCACCTGGCGAGCAGTCTTGAGAGCGCCTTCGACAGCTTCGCTACCACCGGACGCAAAGGCAATGCGTGCAAAGGCACCTTGGGACCTGTCGATGATGTTCTGTGCGAGCATCTCGGTCGGGGTGTTCGTGAGCTGCGTGTGGAAGGTGACTGGGCAGACGGCGGCAGTGAGCAACACGATCTAGACACGCAGGCGACTACTGGCACCCACAGTTCAGGATCCCCGCCTGTTCGCGAATAGCTTCGACGACGGCCGGGTGTCCGTTGCCTATGCAGACGACGGCCGCCCCACCCACTGCGTCAGTGACGCGGCTGCCGTCTTCGAGGTCATAGTAGATCCCGTAGGCTTTAACTGCCAGAGGCGGCGTCTTGTATGTCTTGTGCAGGACTGCGGACTTGCTGAAGGACCGAATGCTGGCGATATCTCCCATGATGTGGTGGTTTGGGATCTGTAGTTTCTGCCCCTCAATCCCTTTCGCCTTAAATATCTCATACAGACTGCGAGTGACGCCGCGTGATCCTCTGCATTCCAGAATCAGATTCTAAGCCATCATATCGACACGTGATTACCTTCTCGTGCATGATGTCGTTGGCAGTCGGAAGGTATATTGCTACGTTCGATACAACTGGCGAGTGCAAGAGTATTACGGCACAGTTCCGCCAATTCCGATTTCGGATCTGAACTGGTTCGAGAGCGTGTGCATTGATCATTTGACTCGGATCTCGATGTGAACTTCAAGATGACAACCTTCTTGATGGAATTCATAGCCTAGAGTTTTGTCTGTGATTCGAACCAATGAGGTTTGAATACCAAGTGAGTATCACAATATGTGGCAAACAAAGTCCACAGGAATTTTCGATGCATTTGAACCTCGGGCTATCTGTGTTCCCAGATTCCGGAACTTTCCAGTTGCTCAGGAGTTCTCTTGCAAAGCTATCATCAGTCAGCAGACATTTTCCATCCATTTCAAAGGCCTTGGAAATCAATGCCAGCAATAAGTGCAAGGCTTTTAGCTGTTTGCCCTATATCAGAAATTGCAACAGGATAGGCTGCTTAATAATAAATTTAGTGTTTGACAGTTTCCCTAGGTGCCCCTGTAACTATTACCAACACTGTGTTAGAGATTCTGAAGGAACCTCTTGGGTACCTGAAGAGCTACATCTATGTGTGCCCAATGAATCCCCATGGGAGGCATGGTCTCCTTCCTGTTCTGACTGTAGACCCCAATGACAAGGAGCAGGGCTGTGGGGGAATGGAGGGCAACCTTGAGACCTTATCTCAGAATTCTGGCAAGGGAGAATCCAAAGGTGAGAAAATGGGGTAAGCAGGTACAAGACCGGCATACACTGCATTCCCAGGTAGGCTTGACCCTGCTGGGGTCGAGTCAAGTAGCCCCTGCTTGCCCCCAGGTGGGGTACAAGTGCTGTAGCCCCTCCGGGGCATCTAGTGTCTAGCATGGGTTGAGTTAAGGTCTACATCACTCGGCACTGATCAGACATCACTCAGACATGTCTAGCCCTCCATCTCTTCCCACCTCGACAGCTCCACACTACAAAGAATGTGATCAAAAATTGCATAAACCATCATGATCAGGATAGCAAGCCACTGATAGGCCCTTGTGCACAAGGACAGGGAGATCTGGATCTGGTACACAAGTGAGACCATGCAAGCTTGACGTCTGGTGATCTTTTGATAGGCCATCACGGTCCATAGTTGGGCTATCAATGCTCACATAAGCAGTCAATTTTTTTTGGGTACATTGAGAGCAGTCATCTCACAGGAGAATACTAGAAGCCAAGAGTATGCATTTGAATTTGACGCTGCCTGAAATTTTGTTCAACAGAAAGGGAAAAGATTATCATGACAGGGCCATAATGTCTTGACCAAAAGTTGTTGGCTGTGCATTACAGCACAGTGGCTATACAGGGGGGCACCATCATTTCTGTACCCAATCCAGATCTTTCCATCCTCGTGCTCTTGTGGGCTAGATGCAGGTGACAGGAGGCAAAGCCGCTAAACACATGTTGCTCCCACAGGGTCTAATCAATCAGCACTTGGCTCACCTTTTATCAACCCTGCATGTGGTCTACTGGAATAGCCCCCAGGCGTTGAGACATTTTGACCCTTCTAGACCTGGTGAAATGCTGAGGGCGTGCTCATAAGTGAATCTACTGTGAAATTAAACCTAAATATAAACACGTTCACACTCCTCGTAATCAGCTTCTCAGTGTGTGAAAGATGCAAGGGCTTTGGGGTGAACAGAACACCGGAATCACAACTCTCAATAGATGCAGGATCCAACAGTCGTGGAAGACAGAGTCAATGTGCAAGAATATATATATAGCAAACAATGGTGTCTCAACTGATATCTTCTATACAGCCAAAACTAACACTAATCCAACCACAACCAAAAATATCACAAGTCAGAGCTTAATATGAAGTATTAAGATCCCTTGTAGCATCAGCATCCAGATGGTGACGCAAAGCCCAAAATATCAAGCGGATGCACTGCCAACTGACACAACCAAAGTATCAAGTTGACGTACTGCCAACTGACCAAAACTACCCAAGCACCTCTAGTCAATGCACTGCCAAGCTAGAGGTGTGGAACAATCTCAACGCAACCCAAAGCAACAACACAAGGTGCCATGACAAAACCAGAAGCGGCAAATCTGACTTCCTGATGTCTCAACTCAAACTCAAATCACAGTAGCTACAAGTGCTCAGGGAGCAACTTGTCGCAACCAGGCAGGGATAATAGAACTTCTTAAGGAGGAATCACATGACACGCAAATTGTACAAAACAATCTGAAATGGGTATGATTCACGGTCCAGGGGAAAGCTCCCCAATACAAAGAAATGTTGCGCTACTTATACTGTCTATGATGGTGCTTAGTAAAGTCCTGTACAACTGCATAGTAGCTACACTATCTAAGATTGGTTGCTTTTTATGGTAATGAAAAGTTGAACAATCAGACAGGTCCTGACTGATCAGGACCCCACCCCATTGTCCATATGGTGCTTTTGATATGGGACAACCCACCGCGTCATACTTTTGGAATACAATGCATTGGATTGGCCAACTGGTATGTCTTGGCAAGTGAGTCCAAAGTGGGCGTTCCAAGAAGCCGTATGGTCCCAGGCATGCCAGACGTTCCTTGCATGGTTTGGTTCACGGATCTAGCCCGTGTCAATTTTAGTGTGTTTGGGTATGGGCACAACTTGCTGTGACACCTGGAAGTGTCACTGTGACGCGTCCACAATGTCCCATGATCAAGTGGATCCTGACATGTGACAAGTCGTTGCCGTGGCATGATCTGAGGAAATGTCTCAGCCAAAACCGGGAATTGCTGCAACAAGATTGGTTCAATCTTGTAACGCCAAGTCCTGTCCAGTAGTAGTTGTAATATTGAGAATGTCGCGCATTGCTCAGCCCTTCAGCCCAAGTTCCCATCTGCAGAGAATGACCCTTTTGAGAAGTTGCCGCAACAAAGATCCCTTTTGGGGAATTGTCGCGGTCCAAGCGTTCGTCACTAATAGCCCTGAGCCTGGTGTAGACTCATAAGACCAATTCCACAGTAGTGGTCTGACTGCCTTGCTATCGTCGACACTATCCACAGCCGTTGACTGGGCAGTAGACCCTCAAGTCCTACTGAGCGCAACACTGTCAACCGCGACACAATACACCTAATGGTTCGAGAGTAAACTCTGTAAAAGCGCAAAAATACGCCCTTATAGAGCTGGTGCAGAGGGTGTCTGGTAGCCAGCCTATCACCAGCTTGCCTGACACTTGGGCATCACTTGGCTTTTATTGTCACCACAGGGTCAAGCCTACCTGGGAGTGCAGTGATACCTGGCAAGGGAGAGTCCAAAGAGAAGCTGTGTTGGGGATTTTCCTTGCCAGGTGTCCACCATTTATATGGTACAAGAACAATAGACTATGCAGGAACAATAAGAACAATAGGAACAATAGGAACAATAGGAACAATAAGAACAAATAAGTGCAATGGCTCTGGGTATGAGAATCAACAAAGAATGAAGCTAAAAAGAGAAGTCAATTCAAAGACTGGAGAATACAACACAATAGCTACAGTATTTATACCCAAGTCCAGTCTGAGTCATATCTACAACTAGTGAGTCATGAGACTATGTACTGCATGAAACACTGGTCATGGGTTGAGTAGAACCTTCTGGAGCATATGTTGTGCAGCCTTGAGTCTATACAGATAAACCTTTGAGCCCCTAACTGAGATTGTGTGATGCTGCAATCCATGACAAGATAACCCATGTCAAGATAAGATGAGATGATCAATGAAAAGATGAAAAAGCGGTCAAACTATGACAATACAGTGGGTCACATGCAAGGTCACATGCCTCAGGAGCGCAGTGTCCCCTGACAGTGATGGCAACTGAGATGTTCCTGGAAAAAATATCTTGTCATGGAGATACAGGACAGTCAGGTATTCAACCAATCCCTTGTGCCAGACAGTTGCTCATTTCTAAGCAAGATTTCGATGTTTTTGAAGCTCCTCCTGATATAACAGAACTGGTGTTGGATAGTTGTCTATGTGGCTAGAGTCTTACTCAACTGTGTCACAGTGAATATATAGTATTGCTTCTTCTCCTCTCCTTCTCCAGTTTCTACTAGTGCAGACAAGAAAAATTCATCAGTAGAAAAAACTTGGTATACCTCCAAAGACTGGACTTTGTGGCTCTTGCAAAGGAGCAATCAATTCTTGCAAGTTGTTGGAGAATCATGTCCACACTTCAACACACAGCTGGTTATGTTAGAGAATGCAAACAAGCTCCTCTGAGCTTTAGCAAATGCCATGGTGTCCAAAGACTTTGCATGTACTTGTCATAGTTTGGCCACTTTTTCATCTTATCATCAACAATCTTATCTTATCTTGGCACGGTTTATCTTATCATGGATCACACGGTCTGGACCAGGGGCCCAGGGGGATATCTCTATGGATTCAAGGCTGCAGGACACATGCTCCAGAAGGTTCTACTATGACCCATGACCAGCGCTCCATGCAGTACATAGTCTTATGACTCATTAGTTGTAGATATGACTCAGACTGGATTTGGGTATAAATACTGCTACTTGGTTGTATTCTCCAGTCTTTGAATTCACTTCTCTTTTCGACTTTGTTTTACTTTGTTTTCGGGTTGATTGTCACAGTACTGCCTTCAAGACACTATCCACCTGGTCTAAATTGAGCAAGTGTGCTTGGTTATATCCTCAGGGGACAGTCTTTCCCGTTCCTCCATAATCACCTCTCAGAGTGTTTCACTGTTGTTGGGTAGAGTTGGTACCTCCAAATCCAGATTTGGAGCTCCTTCCACACAGCCTCAATAGGGCTGATGTTGGGAGGGTTGACAGGATGTGAAAAGTGGGGAATTCGGTGGGAGGAAAACCACAGGTGCATCACCCTGGTTTTGTGTGGGGCTGCACCATCTTACTGAAAACAAGTTTCTTCCTGTTTCTCCTTCAAATCCTTGACAGTATTGACCAAGACAGTGCACACCATCCAGAACTTGCTCTCTGTACCTGGTTGCTCTCATTCCACCACCCTCGCAACCAGAGTACTCCAAAAAAACCAATTGCCTCTTCCAGCCATGTGTAATGCATCCCCAGACCATCACTTGCATGGAAAACGGTTTGAATGTTTGTGATACCATCACTTTGTGTGATCCCAATTATTACACCTGAATTGTTTTATTTGCACCATGATCTGTGATCTGCCACCCCTTGATGGAAATCTTCAATAAATGGGCAAGGAAGGTAGTCAACAATTTGCCAGACAAAAGGACATTGGATTAGGGCTGCCTTCAAGTTCTATCAGACTTAAGATGCCTGATATTGTGTTGGATGCATTCAATCCAGGGTTATTCATACTCATATACATGCTGGAAAAAAATTGCGGAATTTCAAAACTTCAGGTCTCAGACTAACCTTCCGTGGACCATGGGATTGTCAGAGGTCCGGCTACACGATTCTGCCTGTCGGCTATGAGAGAAGCACACGCTCCATAGTAATCAGAGAATATCTGTGCAAAGTATTTTTAGTGTCTTATACAACACACATTTCACAATCACTTACGGCTTGACAACGGTCGAGATCGCTGAGGACTAGATCCAGCAGGAGTCTCGATCCCCGAGTGGTCGCTAGTCTTAGGCACCCAGACTTGTGGCAGGATGTATTGCGCTATCATTGCTCCCTCTGAAAATTAGGTTCGCTTTCCGTTCTGATCTCGAGTGATGGCATTCGCACGTCGCATTTGTAAGGCACACACGAAAAGAGAACACGGAACTTTGCTGTGCACTCATGGTCCGGCATCGAGATCAGGTAGTGAGTTGATGGACCGAAATGGCCGGCTGAAATCCATAACTTCGAATAAGGTGGGCGGAAACCGGATCACGGATACGCTTCAAAGAACAGGATAGACATCAATTAGAAATCAGAAGCGTGTAACCTCTCGAAAGTGATCCACGGACCGTGCGGTCTCTAGAAGACCGTACCCCGGTGGTGGAATGTAATCTGTTGAATTGCGACATGTGAAGGCTGGCCACCGATATGGCTTGGAGAGGAATGTTCCACAAATAGAATCAGACCGACCGTCTCATTCTCGGAAAGAACTTCTGAGCCCGAAAATGAGTAGTATGGATGTACGGTTATCAAACATACGCCGGATGGCAAAAATTCAACTGTGTGGAGAAGCAGAGTCACCCACCAGAAGACCACATGACAGGTGCGGAAGAACAAAGTCTGCTTCGGTCGAGGAGTCAACGCGCCGAGGCAAAGACCGATCGTGACGACGAAGAATGCGCTTTATCTGTTCTCCCATTTCAGCCAATGATGCACCGGCGCACAAGAAACAAGATCTTGAATAGACTAATGAATAGAATCAATGAGCTTCCAGCTGTCGGGCAGATCCTTCTTCTGCATGGATATCAGCCCCAGGTTCGTGAGATTGTCCCCCCAAAAAAAACGACAACCTGGTCCGCAGTGGTCAAGAACAGCTTGAATGTCCCCGTGAGCCAGAACCACAGAATAGAAAAGATTTTGCGGTCGCCTCAGCACTTGAACCGCACTCGATGGGCCGAAGAGCGCACACTTGATGAGTGTTGGAAGTGCTATGCTGGGCAAAATCGAGCCAGACAAAAGAAATGATGCATTGGCCTCATTCGAGATGGAATACACCTGCCCACAAAGCATCTCGCCGCCAACAGCGATTTCGTGAGTCTTCAGATGACGATTCGTCCCGGACAGGTATTGAATACAAACGCTATCTATAGTACTGGTTGCCCTTAGAACATGCAAACATCGGAATCGCGATGCTCGCCGCGACTGGATTGGAATGTCCATCGCGCAAGATAGGCTTGATTTTGAAGCTAAAGAGTATCCTGAGGACATGCGCGCTGCGCTGTCGCAACATCCGCCGTTTTTTCTGTCTTTGGAGGGAGGATAGTCTGCACGACGCACTCACTGTGTTACATACCACATGCTGGTCCTGGCTTGAAATCGAGATTTCCACCCCATGATACCCGGAAGGAGGTGCAGTCAATACGGAGCTTGCGCCGCACCGATACAGACGCCAGCAGCACTCGAGCCAGTTCGGCTGTAGTATTGCTTTGCGAAGATGTTCATATATCAAATGATCCAGAAGAGTTCTAGCTACGGAGTGGACGGGTGCGCAAAGGCGATGGTTTACCATGCGGCGGCCGTTGGAAGCAGTGAGTATCGTGTCAAGAGACTTCGGCGCAATGACGATGAGATCCCGAAGAGAATCATCGGGTGTGGGCGGAGTCACTGTTGCGCTCGATGAGAAATTTCAAACGGAGCAGATCGCTTGATTCGCGATCGATGGTCAATTAGAGCTAGGAACTGTTTTTTTGAGTCTGTTTTGCAGGCCATACGATCATGCCGAGTTGTCGCATGCCCAAAAAACGCCGTACATGCTTCAACACGTTTCTTAACTATCTGCATCAGCTCTCAGATCGTTTGCGGAGTCGTCCGCTCTGAGTTCAAGGATACCTGCACGTACTGATTCGCTGGCCAAGTCCCGGGATGGTCGGGGGTGCAGAGTTATAGCTGCTAGATTCCCCCGAATGGCAGCGGCCACTGTACCTCGACATGTGGGACGCAATGGTTCTGGCACCAGGCTGTGATGTTCACCGGAAAACGGGAGAGTTCAAGGGCAGCCGGCTCGGCACAGATGTCACGGGGAGCTGTCAAACCGGCTCAGCTTCCAGAATAGGCATTTTTGCACTCAAATCCGGTATCACCCATAGATCAAGTTACCGGTTGCACTCAGCTCAGAAGTTTTCGGCGGCTGCGCGGACACCTCGAGCCGAGATGAGTCATGCCAAGTCGTGGCAACTTGACTATAGATTCACGTGAGTACTCTTTTGTCGCGAGGTCCCATCCTTTACAAATACTCGACCTTCTGCGAGGCCAGGTCTCTCACGACGTTCCTTTTCTTTCACGTCCATCACGATGCCCGCTGATTCAGAGACTCAAATAATGCCATCGATAATCGGCCCCAATCCTCCAGCGGATTCGACCAATTCTGCTACCACGAGACGCGACTTTGGGTTCCTGCCTGTGCCTCGGTGCGCCCATCTGGATAGCTCTGGTGAGATCGGTTACGCGAGAGTCCTTTCGTTTGCATTCGCGGCTACTTTCAGTGAGTTTCCACGGATTTTTCATCGGACCGTTGTACTGACCGGACTCGAAGCTGGTAGGCAGCACAAACATCTTTGTTCTCTGAAAGTGATCTTTTCTGTTCAAAGCGATGAATTTGTACTACTGCCAACCCATTCTCGGTTCGTCGTTTCGCGCGTTCCTTCATTTGAAATGGCTGACCTCGTTTGGCAGTACAACTGGCGCAAGCGTTCCAAGTCGACGACTTCCAAGTCTCGCGGATTCCAATTCTTCTCCAGGCCGGGTGAGTACTCTGATGACAACCCTTGGAATTTGGTCTGACTTTGCTTCCCAGATATGCCACTGGCTTGCTGTTCATAGCACCGCTAGGAGACATATTCCATCGGCGGCAGCTCGTTCTAATTCTCATCGTAACTTCGGGAGCCCTCACTGTCGGTTTGGCATTGACAAGATCCTTGGTCGCCTTTGAAGTCCTTTCTTTCTTAACGGCAGTCGCCACCGTGACGCCTCAGGTACGGATTTCCTCGTCTGCGCACTCTTGGTGGCTCACATACAGACTACAGGTTCTGATCCCGCTCACTGCGGATCTGGCCCCGGCAAACCGGCGCGCAACTTTCATTGCCCTCGTCATTGCGGGTCTTCTCACCGGCGTTCTCGCTGCTCGTGTTCTCGCTGGGATCATCACTCAATATTCATCCTACCACAATGTATACTGGATGGGCGCCGGAGGCCAATTCCTTCTCGCCATCGTCCTCTACCTCGTCGCGCCACCTGTCCCGGTCAAAAACGAGCACCTCTCGTACTGGCAGATCATGGCGAGCTTAGCAAAATTTGCAGTGACCGAGCCCATTCTTGTTCAGGGGTGCCTCATCTTTTTCTGCAGCGAGGCGGTATTCTCGGGATTCTGGGTTACCATGACTTTCCTTTTGGACGGCGAGCCCTATAACTATTCAACGTGTGATCCTTTCTTTCTCATGTCGTCCCCGCGCTCAGACCTTGCAGTTTGGTCATCGGTATATTTGGTCTTGTCGGACTGGCCGGAATAGGCATGTCTCCACTCATCGGACGGGCGGTAGACAACCTCGTCCCGTGGGCTGCGACCTTTGTTTCCGTGTGGTTCGTGATAGCGTCTCAGATCGTTGAGACGTTTGGGGCTGAGAAAAGCATCGCCGCTGTTATTGTTGCGACGCTGAGTAGGAAAATGGTTGCGAACGTGTTCTTTCTTTCTAATCTTTTGACAGTTCTTGATGTCGGTTCTCAAGCTACTCAAGTTTCTTTGACCGCAGTCATTTTCGAGTGCGCATAGTTTTTACCCTTAGCGTCCCGCCTCACCATTTCTCTTTTCTTTTTGATTCTAGGATCGATCCAAGTGCTCGGGCGCGTTTGAATACTCTGCTTGTCGGATCCATCTTTCTCGGCCAGGTCGCTGGAACCGCTATCGGAACTAAGCTCTATGTTTCTGGCGGATACAAACTTTCCTCGGGCATCCGCGTGGTTTTTGCAGGACTGGAGCTTCTCGTGCTCCTGGCGAGAGGCCCCCATGCCCCACGACACACCTGGTTTGGATGGGCAGGCGGGATGAATCTCCGGAAATCAACGCCAGCGCCACCGATAGAGAACGGCATCCCGGAGGCGGGGGTTGACTCGGACGAAAAGCACCAGTAGTTCAATCAATACAGTGTATTTCCCGCTCCCCAGCAGAGCAACCTAAAATTCTGATCGCCAAGTTGGAGTTTGATTTGAGTATGGACAGAGAAGCAACGATGAAGCACATAAACCGGACATCGGGTAGAGGAAGATGGGGATTCGGCACGCGCGTAAAGCTGCTGCTTACCGTCATTGCTTGGGCTCCTCGTTTGCGCATGTGCAGCGGTCCAGTGACTAATACTCAAAATTGCAAACATCGGTGATAATGTCCGTCTGTTTGCTCGCTGGATTCTGATCTCCAGTAGAATCGTTCAAGTTGCCTGCCAAAAATACACTCACTCTATGCGAGTCTTCTTAGGCGAAAACAGCTCATTCTATTATAGTCCGAGCGCTCACTTTTCCGAGAAGATCGGGGACCGCATTCGCCATGTGAAGTATTCTAACTCCGTCTGTTGCTCATCACGGCGGTCTCTCAAGACGGGCGACGATCAGAGGTTGAATAGTCCCACGTTCGGACACTTACGGAGATCTGAGGATTGCTTCCTGATTAGATTGCATCTCGGCTGTTGGTCGATCTCGATTCTCACGTTCGGATGCAGAAATCTAGATCAAGGTTCTCAGTGCTCTCGAGATCTTTGGATTGTCTTCGCCTAGATCCTGATCTTTATCGGAGCAACATGTTTGGTACCATTGACTCGTGTGGAGGCCGATCACCCGGGACCATTGTGATCAGCTACGCAGATATTTCGCTCATTTCTCTCCCCCCTGTTATACGTCACTTCCTGACCAGGTCCAAGCGAATTCCAAGAAAGAAGCAATGCACTCATTGGATTACATAAATCACGGCCGTATTTACGGTCGAATATATGAATGACCGACTTGCGCGTGTTTGGGCCGAGACTTGGCCATTTGATTGGTCGAGTGCACAATTTTATGCTAACTAAGGATGGCATCCACCTATTTCTGGATCGAGTGAAGGCTAGAGGGAGATGTAAGCGAAACGGCTCCTCAGCGGATTTGGCATTGCATCCGAATCAGCGGCCTTCAATTTGGTCTTGGAAGAGCCCAAATGCGTCATGGTAGTCCAAGAACCATTCCGGGTGCAAAGGCGCTTCGGCACACTCTGCTTTGAAGACAAAAGGAGATTGAAACACGACAGCCTTCATCCGAGGGTTGAATGCAGACTTCTGTGATTCATTCACATGTGATACAACAATGTTATGACGTTGTGAATCCATCAGAGAGCATCTCATTTCTCATTCACCTCGTCGCCATGTCTTTGAGAGATGATCGAGATCCGTACGCCAGTTCCGAACCCACATAAACACTCCCATGGATTGAACTCGACATCCAAAAACTCAACATCCCTGTACTTCCCCTCAACATGTGGAAAGCACTGGCTGTTCTCGCTGTCCTTGGTGTAGCCCGGCTCACATGGCTCATCTACCGTCGCGCCGTCGTCAAGTCACCACTGCGCAATCTCCCAGGTCCCCCGTCCAAGTCGTGGCGGACAGGCCACTTGTCATATCTGTACAATCCCGCCGGGATGTCCTGGCATCACGATCTCACCCAGAACTACGGGAGCGTCGTCAAAATCAACGGCATCATGGGGGTCGGGCTCGCGTAGATTTCCGTGCACATGATCAAGGCTGACATTTGCGCAGGACGAGCACTTGTATGTTGCCGATCCACTGGCGCTCCATCAGATCACGGTCAAGGAGCAGGACGTCTTTGAACAGACAAAGATGTTCGTTCAGTGCGTACTTTCAGGGGCGCTGTGCCTGCCCATTTGCTCACAATCCACGTCGCAGGGGAAATGGAGTCATCTTCGGCGACGGCCTGCTCTCGACCGTGACTGACCACCATCGGAACCAGCGTCGCATCCTCAACCCGATCTTCTCCAGCAAGAACATGCGCGAGCTCTGTCCGGCTGTGTTTGAGGTCGCCAACAAAGTCAGTCGCGTCACACTTGCTTCCTGACTCCCCTGTCTGACTCCCCTGCTACTCCCAAGATGGTCCATCTCATCAACGTAAAGACCAGATCCCGCCCCGCCGAAATGGACATGCTCGATCTCATCATGAGGACTGCGCTCGAGGTCATCGGACAGGGTGGACTCGGCCACTCTTTCGAGGCGCTCGAGGAAGACCGCGATCCCAACACCGCCTTCAGGACAGCGCTACGCGGTCTGATTCCGACCATCTTCTCGCTGCAGATCGAGCGCCAGATCCTGCCGTTCATCCTCAAGATCGGCACACCTGGCTTCCGGCGCTGGCTCGTCGACGTCACACCCAGTCGTAGGTTGCACAAGCTGCGCGACATCGTCGACGAGATGCACAGCACGACGCTGGCGATCTTCGAGTCGAAGAAGAAGGCGATGCTGATGGGTGACGAGAAGGTGCTGGAACAGGTCGGACACGGGCGCGACATCGTCAGCATTCTGAGTAAGTGACGAGCTGTGATCTCTAGCCGCTGGGCGTCGTCCCTGACGAATGCATCCAGTGCGAGCCATGCACGGCGCTTCGACACAAGACGTGATGCCCGACGCAGAAGTCCTGGCCCAGTTGACGACGCTCGTTTTCACATCACACGACACAACTTCCTCGACGATCGCCCACATTCTCCACCTCCTCTGCATCTATCCCGACGTGCAAGACCGTCTCCGCGCCGAAATCAAGGACGCACTGGACACCTGGGAGAGGGAGCACGGGAACCGCGAACTCGGATACGACTTGCTGATGGAGCTACCGTTCCTCGAGAACGTCTGCCGGGAGACCCTCAGACTGCATGCCGCAGTGACCTTCATGACCCGCACGTAAGCCGCGAGCAGCTTTCGTCCACACAAGAGTCTCATCTCCCCTCAGAGCCCGCTCCGCTTCTGTTCTCCCTCTGCTCTATCCGCTGACCGGCACCGACGGCAGGACGATCACCGAGATTCCCGTCGCTGAGAACCAGAACGTGCACATTGGGATCGCAGCGGCGAATCGCGACCCGAAGATCTGGGGTCCCGACGCGAACGAGTGGAAACCCGATCGGTGGGCAAACGGTGTGCCCAAGAGCGCGGCCACCGCCCATCTGCCGAGCATCTACGCTGGAACGATGAGCTTCCTCGGCGGCGGGCGCGCCTGCATTGGCATCAAGTTCGCACAGTTGGAAATGAGTAGGTGATAACGCGCAGATGTGAGCGCACTCACTGATCCATCCATTGCAGAAGTGATGATCTGTGTTCTGCTCGACAACTTCCGGATCAGTCTCCCGAAAGAAGAGATCATATGGAAGCTGGCGAACATCCAGATGCCATGGACTGAGGGTGCCGCGGGCCCAGCCATGCCTTTGACGCTGCAGCGCCTGTGACGTTTGGGAATGATCACATGATTGTAGTAGATTGTAGTGACCATCGCGCCTGTGTAGTTTTCCGTCCAAGACCAAAAAAAAGTGGATCACATGACACTGACAGCTGATGTGAAAGCAAGGCCGAAACCACGCCAAAGACCATCAGCATCCCTTTTCAATGAGTTCAATCGGTCAATTCTCGTCTCCAACTCTCGCCTTGAACCGCCCTCAGACCCACATCCTGTAGCCTCCCCGCGCTCACTCCGGATGGTCACGCCTCCTAAAATTGCCCGAAATATCTTGAAAGCTACATATGGGATGTTCAGAATGAGTAAGTACCAACAATATTGTCAAAACATCTACCCTGAAGATGATAATGCTGGCGCGACGCGTTGTTGATGTATATTTGGTACCCCAGCAAAATCGGAATAAAAAGTCAGCTCCTGGGCAATCAGTGCCCCGGAAACTCGTACATTATAGGACAGAATGTAGTTTGATTTGTATTTTGAGGAGGAATTGTCATATGAATAAGGATTGGCTTCAGTTGGGGGTGCACAGCATGAAGATCTTGATCATTCCAATCACGTTCTCTTATTCCTCCTCAAAATACAGATAGAATGATTTAAGATGATTTTTTGTGTACAAAACTGAATTTCTGGAGGGCCGTAGCTTGCTGTTATATTCCGATTTTGCTGGAACAACAAAAGAGGGTGGTGCTTTAGCTTAAGTAAGTAATGATCGATGCAATCAATTCCCATTGTGTTGCCCATCCTCAGATTCATGCTGCAATGGACAATGACTCAGCAAGAAATGCATAATAATTGTCCCTCCAACTAAGTAAGTAATTTTTCAGTCGCACAAGATTGCTGCTGTCACCATACTTGACCCACACATGCTTTTGGTCTGTTTACTCAAAGTTCAAAGCACTTGTGATGGACCAAGAATAAGCTAAAGCTAGATGAGTCAGGCATTCATGTTGGCTACAATTTTGACATATCCTAGTGCCATGTGGGCTTGGGCCAAAGCCCTCAAACCTGGGTATCAGACCTCAAACTGTTGAAGCCTTGCCCAGCCCAGCCCAAGAGATGAGTCAGAGTAGGTTAAGGCCCGGGCATCTGTGATAGGGTTCTGGTTTTGATTGCCCAGCAGTAAAAAATGTGTTTATGAACACAGTATCTGAAACAGAGCTTTTCCTAAACAAGTTCATTATTCAAATCCTACATTTACACTCAGAACAACATGTCATCAATACTGGAACTGAATGAAACACTTCTGTGATCCACAGAAGATGCTTGCGGGACTTGAGAAACTGCCTCTCCTGTAAGGGCAACCTTGAGGCCCAATGTCAGAGTCCTGACAAGGGAGAGTCCAAAGCGTCAGATAAGGGAATTGACTAATACAGGAGACTGGCAAACCTGAAAACAGACAGTCAAAAGAAAAACCAAGTTGGAGACTCTCCTTGTCAGGGCCCACTATACATAGTCTACAGAACAATGGGAAGCACAGAACAATAGGCCAGAGAACAATCAGGGGCCAGATTGGAGAGAACAAAAGGGAGCTGGACCGTCAGAACAGTAAGGGGCTGGGCCTGAGGGTCATATGGCCATGCTTAGCAGGTGAGTCTGGACCAGAGCACATGATGCTTGACAGATGGCATGTGCATGGTCACATTCAAGATCCCATGATGATTGGATGAAAGCAGGGGCTCTCCTGACATCTCCAATGTGGCAAACCTCATCTACTCCAGGCATGGGTGTATT